CACCAGGTACAGTTTTAATTGCATCACGATGAAAACTCACCTTCGCTTTATTTACTTCTTTGTCAATTGGAAACTGCGCTTTAAATATTTTCTGTTCTTCTTGTGCAGGGCTATGAAAAAAACAATACAAGGAAGTTTATACTCAATTATAACATCAAGTTGGACAAGTTAACTAATTCCCCAATGATAATTTGTTGGGGGATGTGGTAGGGATTCGCACTAACTGAGCACTCTATTGTTCAAAGCATGCTTTCATTCATCATGGATGACCAGAGAGTACAGTACTGATCAAACATATAATCCTCTGATGCTACAGCTGTTTGCACGTTGTTTCACATGTAATTTTGTGAAAAGTGAAACAAAAAAAGCCATGCGAGGCACAGTCCACGTTAGTTATCAAATTTAAGATATATAGTTTTGTTTATAGTAATATAGTTGGAACATAAACATGTCAGCGATGTGGATCCAGAAGCTGATGCTACTCAGAACCCTTATTTCACGTTTCCCGAAACACCGATACTATTAGATTGTACACAGCACATTTCAGTTATCCTGTGGTAATCTGTTACCATTACATTAAGGATAACATGAATTCATTACGTCCCCAGGGAAAACATGCATGGCCATCTTTTGAGTACCTATCTCCCAACCAGGAATGCGGTTAGATAGTACTGGTACTCCTTATTTTCACACCTAAGTGACATACAACTATGGCACATAATCTTTGTGATGCAACATCAAGAGTTACTTACTTGCTGAGTAGTTTCCACCTTGAGAAGAAAATTTGTGAACCCATTTCAGTTTGTTCAAAAAATTTATTGACCATGACAGGCAGTTTTAGGCTGATACTCTGTGGGATACTACAATACCTATAGAGCAAAGAAAACAAACATAAAAACATACTCAAAATCACATGGCAGTATACTTTACTAGCTTGAGCACAGTGATTCATTGGGTACATATAATGAAATAAAAAATTGCATGGATGTGTATCCTTCTTAGTAAAATTGTTTTGTTTTTCAATTCTAATCAAATATATAGTCCACCACAATAAAATTGCATCACCATAGTTATCTTACCTGCAGTTGATTTGGTTCTGACCAAAGTATTATAAAATAATGACAGAACATCTTACAGTTTTACATTAATCAAAAGTTGACTCAACTGGTGGTGCAACCGTAATTGTACAATTATAGAAGTATAGTAATCCAAGAGCATAGAGCTTTCTTGAATGTCATCAGATAGTGTATTAGGTTAAATTACAAAAGATATGGGCACCAATTTGCTTAAATCCCTCTGGTGAGAAAACGACAGTGAACTACCCTTTTAATATATTTTTAGTGGTAGTTTGTTTTACATGCTACATTAAAATAACACTCATTATGATTATGGCGTTATAGTTATCGATATGTTAACAAAACTCCAACACAATGCCACAAGTAATGTCAACATAACACTCATAATACAGAATCTTTAGCAATTTATTTAGCTTAGCACACAACCTCTTAGGCTAATTATAACCAGTGCATATAGTCAACATAGAGTTAGTTTGTAAATCTCCATCCAATCAAGAATAACTGACCATCTGCATTGTCCCGATGAATTAGGTCCCTTCAGTACGCTGCAAAAGAATCAGCCTAACATCAGAGCAATTTAAACCATCCAATTCATGTCCTAACAACCAAACATTTTCTCATATATTGACCTGTACTCCTTACTTTTTTTCCCTCTGATATCTATCGCAAACTCTGTCCTGCATTCTCAACCATTGGAATGGTTTGTTTAGAATTCTAAAACAATTATGAAGGATACAGATACTGAAATTTTACAATATGTATCGTATCAAAGCAAGTCGGACTTGTTGTTTTCAGCAAGGATTCAAAATACCACGTTTTACCAAAAATATTCATCAAAATTAGATGATTGAAGATATCATAACAAAATGAAGATATCATGACGAAATGAACATATCTGAGAAAGGTCTACCTGAGGTACCTATATGTATAGTATCAAAGCAATCACACTTGCGTTTTTTTTAACAAGAAGTCGAAAATATCACTTTTTACCAAAAATGACAAAAATATTCATTAAAATTAGAGAATTAAAAATAACATCACGAAATGAACAAGTCTAAGAAAGGTCTGTCCAAGGTACATATACACCAAGTATCAAAAGAAAAAAGAATTGTAGTTTTCAGAAAGAAGTCGTAAAAGTTAAAAGTTGACACAGACGACGACGGGCAATCACTCATATGATAAGATTCGCTCGACAAAGTCGACAGCAGAGCTAAAAAAAAAAAATTATAGATATGTTTACTTGGTTCTGTACTTACGTGAAATTAACAATCAGAATGGGTGCTTCATCAAAGGAAGTGTTACACTCCACATTTATAAGTTGTTGAACTTGAGCTCCAGCATCAACTGTAGAATCTACAGGTATTAGACTGAACACTGAGTTGTGAAATTACGGTTAAGAAAACATCACAACAATTATTACTTAAGATCAGCAGTTGATTTACTGCAGGTGACAATGTTTAGGGTTTTGTCTCTATTAAATATTTTAAATCATTCTTTAAACATTATTTTTGCTGATTCAAATCCTTGTTCAAATTGTCACTATTAAGAGCATATTCACTGGGTTTTGATTTTATGGATTCACAATATTGAGTTCTATTGTAATTTCACATGTTCATGTGGATTTCATAATTTACAGTAGCAGGTTTTTTCTTAAATAATTCTCCCAAACACAGACTACCTCACTCCCCACTCCCA